AAAAAGCAGAATGAGCTTCCATTTTTGTTGAAGTCACTGCAATGCAAATAAAAAGCTTATTGTAATTACATCTGGCAATGAAGTTACATTTAATAACTTTCAGTCTCATGGCACCTAGCAGAGACTAGACTTTCAAAAAGCACAAAATAATAGACACTGACTACAAAGAACAGCAATATAAAACAAAGAAACTCAAAATAGTTTGCTTTATCCCTTAAAGGGGCACAAAGGTCTGAGATTTGTATGTAAATGCCTGAAAATAAGAGACTACCATTTATATAATCATTTATAGTTATTCAATGAATTTTTGTAATTCTAAATAAAAATTACATTCAGAAGACATGAAATACGGTTAAATGCTTCACAAAATCTGGGGGAAAAAATGTGTGCTTATACTCCCATATGCAGTACTTACCTGCTTGTATTTAAAGAAAGATGATCTTAAGATACATTCTCTTTTTTTTTTAGCTGCTCTGAAAGGAGCAGGGCTAACCTTAAGGCCAGAGTTGGCCTTAAGATGTATTCTTGAAATATTCGTTTCTGTTTGTGGGAGCACTCAGAGATTACTAGAAGTTTTTAAAAAGAAAGTTTTCAAAAAATGGATAATGCTCTTCTTTGTTCTACACAGAAATCATGTTTAATCTTATTCAGAACAAAGATTAAACCAGCTGAGTACAATCATTCTCTTTACAATTATAAAAAGTATCTAATTATCAGACACAGTTGAGCCAGAACAGATTACAGAAGACAAGCCTGATTTTAAAAATGAACATAAAAGGCCGGGCGCGGTGGCTCAAGCCTGTAATCCCAGCACTTTGGGAGGCCGAGGCAGGTGGATCACGAGGTCAGGAGATCGAGACTATCCTGGCTAACATGGTGAAACCCCGTCTCTACTAAAAATACAAAAAAACTAGCTGGGCGTGGTGGCGGGCGCCTGTAGTCTCAGCTACTTGGGAGGCTGAGGCGGGAGAATGGCGTGAACCCGGGAGGCGGAGCTTGCAGTGAGCCGAGATCACGCCACTGCACTCCAGCCTGGGCGATAGAGCGAGACTCTGTCTCCAAAAAAAAAAAAAAAAAAAAAGAACATAAAAAACTGAAGAGACTCAGCAATGTACAGCCAAGTTAGTACACGAATTATTAGGTACCTACTAGGTGAAAAGCACTATGCTTTTCATCATGGGTGAAAGCAGTGGGACAAACAAGAAGTAAAACATTCAGTTTCCGTCATTGGTCACAAATTTTAAGACCACTCTACAATAAGATTTAAAAAGCAACATGAGGCCAAGTACAATGGCTCACGCCTGTAATCCTAGCACTTTGGAAGGCCAAGGCAGGAGGATCACTTGAGCTCAGGAGTTTGAGACCAGCCTGGGCAACATAGTGAAACCCTGTCTCTATGTAAATTTAAAAAAAAAAAATACAAAAAAAAAAAAGCAACATGAAATTTTAGGCAACATATGCTTAAATATCAAATTAGTAATTTAAACAATAAGTAAGATCTGAGGAAAAATTACATCCAAGTTTTTTGAAGCTATTTCCAGTCCATGTAATTAGTGAATTATAGTTTTTACAACAAGAAGTTAATCAGATTCTTGAAATTATTGTAATTTTTTTAAAGCAGTAGCAGAGGGATGACAGTTTATCTCTATGCAGGCCTTCCAGCTAGAGAAGAGGGAAAAGGAATAACTGGGTAGGAAATTAGACTAAATGATTATTTCCTTAAAGTCTACAGTTCTTCCTTAATTTAAGAAAGCATAAAATCTGCCAGGCACGGTGGCTCACGCCTGTAATCCCAGCACTTTGGGAGGGCCAAGGCAGGTGGATCACGAGGTCAGGAGATCAAGCCATCCTGGCTAACACAGTGAAACTCAGTCTCTACTAAAAATACAAAAAATTAGCCGGGCATGGTGGCGGGCAGCACTGTAGCCCAGCTACTCGGAGGTCTGAGGCAGAGAATGCCTGAACCCAGGAGGCAGAGGTTGCAGTGAGCTGAGATCATGCCACTGCACTCCAGCCTGGGCGATAGAGCGAGACTCTGTCTCCAAAAAAAAAAAAAAAAGTATAAAATCTCAAATACAATGTATGAAAATAAACTCATAAAACACAAGTACTGTCTAAGATAGTGGTTTTCAAATTCTGATGAACATCTAAATAACCTGGATAACTTCTTAAACCATATAGATGCCTATGTAGTATCTCAAACCTTTGGAATCGGAACCTATAAAGATGAAGTGTATCTGTATCCTGAGAAAGCTCCCCAAGTGATTCTGATGAACAGCAAAGTGCTAAAATTAAGTTAAATGGTTAAGTACACACTCTTCAGTGGTAAGGAAATCTGAGTTCAAATGCCAATTCTAATATTTACTAGAGCCATGACTAACTAACTACCCACCCTAACACTATTTCTAATCTATAAAAAGGGGAAAAGCTAGCTATACCTCAAGTGATTGTTATAAGGATTAACGGTGATGATGAGGTAAACGTTAAGTACAATTACTGGCACATTCAGTAAGCATAAAATGAATTCATTTAACAAACATTCAGCACTTACACATCAGGAGATGAGGAAGGTCTAATTAATTTATTAAGTATTAATAAACATGGCAACTCTTCAATGGTGTGGTAAGAACATATAATCAGGGGAATCTATTCTAATCAGGAAAGTCTTCCCTGAAGTGAGCTGAATGATGAATAGGCATAATTGGCTAAAAAAAGAAAGGAAGGGCATTTCCAAGCAGAGGAAGTAGCATAACCAAAGCCACATACTTGAAGCAGGAGAACAGAAAAGACAGAGTGACTAGGGGAGAAAGGGAATGTCAGAAAGCACAGAGGAGATGAGATTGGAAAGGGGACCGACTATGCAGGGCTTGTAAGGCATGTTAATATGTTCGATTTACTTAAAAATAGTGAGAAGCCACTGAAAGATTTTAAACACAAAGACAATGTTATTAGGTCTACATTTTGAAAAAGTCACTAAGTCTGGTGTGGAAAACTACAGGAGACCACAGTAGATGCAAGCAGACCATAATCAGGAGGCTACGGAAGTGGTCAAGATGAGAGATGGCAGTGGCTTGGAACAGGAGGACTACTGTTACAGACGAAGAGTAGACAAGAGTCAAGAGATATTCAAGAGGCAAAATCAACAGGACTTCATGAGAGAGTGAGTATGAGGCATGAGAGAGGAACTGTCAAACTTCAACTTCTATAGAAAAGAATGGATAGTGATGCTACCCACGGAGTTAAACACAGTAAGAGGAGCTATTTTTCTTCTTGGGGTGAGGGAAGGGAGGTATATCATGAATTTCAAACATGTGAGTATGAGTAGTTATTCCCAGTAACAGGGTTGATCTGTACAGGAAGTATTCCAGAGTACAGAAGTACAATGTGCCTGTATATATTTTATTGGGTATTTATGAATCCTAGAGACCAAATAGGTTTCTGCATGTGAGTAATGTAAACCTAAAAAGAATGAAGGCCCTCACCTTCCATTAGGTTCCCTTCCTTTACACAATCCCCCAAAAGCATTCTTTAAGATTACAGTTTAATGTTGCCTCAAGAAGTAATTTATATACTCAGCTGATTTCATTTTTAAATATTTTAAAAATATTTGTGCTAAAGAATAAGACAGCAAACCAAACAACAACAACAAACCTGCAAAGTCCAAAAGGAATCTTCAAGCATCTGACTTTCAAGCCATCACCAGAACATGACGGGGTTTTACAGTGACAGGCTGATTTGGAGCACTTTTGCTAAACTATTTATTTTTCAGAACGGAGACATGCTACTTAGAAAACTCACTCATAGAATCCAATGTTTTTAAAAAGTGTCATCACAAGTAATTCCTGAGTTTGACGTACTAAAAAACAGTTGACACCTTCCAATGAAGTCACTACAGGCATATAGCGCTTTTAAGCGGCTTGTCTGGAGCCTCCTCGAGTGCTTTAGAGGGTGGATTTGATAATATGGTCTCCTTAATTACGGATCACAGGTATGTGCTCAGAGTCCAAGAAGTTTTTGCAAGCTTTATCGGTCTAAACCTTCCTCCATCCGTTCTCTTCCGCTTAGAAAAACAAGACTGCAGGAGTAACCGGTGGGGTTTTTGTCTTAACAAAACACCTGCCCCACCCACCTCACACACAATAACCTTCCATTCCAGAACTAAAGCTACTGTCAGAGAAGGACTGCGGGCGGTAGGGCCCCGGCTGGTGACCCAAGCTACCGGATTCCAGATCTCAGAACTGAGGGGAGCTCTCTCACTCGGTCCTAGAGTAGTGTCCAATGTCCCCGAAAGGTACCACGTTCTCCACCACCGAAACCCGAGCTCCCCAGCCGGCATGGGGGGCTCTCCCTCCGGCAGCTGACTCCGATCCCCGGTCTCCCGTCGCCTCAAGGCCTCTTCCGAGGACTCGGCCCTCTCGGATCAGCTCCCCGGAGCTCGCTGCTCGCCCAGCCCTGCTATGAGCGGGCGCCGACCGCCGATCGCCCGGCCGGCCGCCGGCAGGCCCGTCACCAGGCAACATTCACCAGCCCAAGCGGCCCTGGGAGGCCTACCCCGGGCGCGAGTCCTCCATTCCCTCCTCGCCGGCCCCGGGAGCCCAGGCGAGAGCGCGGCCGGTGAGGGAGGTTGCTCGGTGCCGGCGGCCGGTCACTTACCTCTTCCTTCTCCTTCCAGGAGGGGCGGTGCTGGGGCTCTTTCCCCCCGCCCCCCTAACAAACGCCGCCTGGCTTTTCCTGCTTTGCCTTGGTGCCTGGCCGCTGACTCCGGCTTTACTCCATATCCTCCGCCGCCCCCGCGGTCGCAAACGTCGGAGCTGGAGGAGGGAAGGGGGTGAGGAGGGGAGGGACTGGGGACGAAGAGTAAGGGAGGGGGAAAAAGACTGAAAGACCTGCTGGCCGGGGGCATGACGTCACTTCCTGCTGGTTCGGAAGAGGCGGGGCCAGGTCTTCTCTCCGCCCCCTGGTGTCAGTTGGGGGCGGGGCTATGGTGCCGGAGGAGGAACCAGCACGCGAGCTTACGGCGGTTCTTTTGACTCCGCGGTTCCGTAGACTTGGCAGTCAGAACGAGCTTCCGGGCCCAGGGCTGAACGGGCCAAGTTCCATGAACCGTAAAGGTGGCTTCTGCCGGAAAAGGAGGACATGCAGCCCTGTATATCCTAGCCAAAGGTGTAGTGAAGGTGGAGTGGGGAGCTGAGGGGAGCGGACGGCTGGGACTCTGCTCCTCATCGGTCCAGGGCCCCGCCCATTTCCTAGCCCGCCCCCTTCGTGGTCTCCCAGGCACTGGACTGGGGGACCCAGGACTGAGGCTTTTTAGGGGTTACTCTGGTGAAGTGCCCTTGGAGCATGCAGGAAAGCATTTTTTCCCAAACTTTAATATACATACGAATCCCTAGGATCTTGTGAAAATGCAGATTCTGATTGAGGAGTAGGGTCTGATAATCTGCGTTTCTAATACATGTCCAGATGGCACCAATGCTGCTGGTCCCTAGGCTACACTTAGAGCAACAAGAGGTTAAAGTACTAGAGGGCAAGTTCCTTGAGCTAGAGGAGTGATTTCTTTAATCTAGCCTACTTGTTTAATGAAGGTTAGAGAGGTAGATTGTCCATGGAAAACAGCTAGGCTCCACCGCTCTGTCTTCCGCCAACCCCTTCGAGTACCCTCCTGCCCTACTCCGCCCATCACTTTCTGGCTTCCGCTCCTCAGTCTCCGCTCTGCCCACAATGTCTGGGGATAAGATTTCTGGAGTGATTAGACGGGTGACTTCTGTTACAGAAGGAATTTGAGGGTGATGGATTTTTATTTGTCATTTTATCGTAAACATACGTGTAGTTGGGCATACCTTTTGCGGTTATACGTAGTCGGAGAAGAGAGCTTAAATTCTTGGATTCTACCCACTTGCCCCTGCAAATCTAGAAAAACATTCTAGATGTTCTAAGTCATTCCCTTATCATTCTTTAAATGTTTTAATTAAAATTTTACTGGGGTGGGGAAGAATGAAGAATTACTACGAACTATAGGTTTCTTTGTGGAATGATGCAATGGTCTGAAATTAGACAATAGTGATGGCTGTACAACTTCGTGAATGTACTAGAAAACACTGAATTGTACACTTTAAAAGGGTGAATTTTATGGCATGTGAACTATATCTCAGTAGTTTTTACTGTCTCCAGTTAATTAAAAAATGAATTTATATGTGCCCATTATAACAAGTCAGAAACATAGAATAAAAAATGATGTTAACTTGACTGGGCTCAAATGAAAAACATATATTAAAAAATGAACATCCTCTTTCATCAGCCACCATTACAATCCTTCTTCCCCAAGGTTACTCGTTTGAAGTTTATTCTTCCAGTTCTTTCTATTTATTTACATACATTTTTATGTAGGTTGGGAATTCATTTTTACCTAAGTAGGATAATAATATACAAGTTGTTCTGCTCAGCTCATTTTAAAAAAATTTTTGTTTTGGGTTTTTATTTTTCCCTTTTTAATGAGATCCTTGCACACTATAAACATAGCTCTACTTCATTCTTTCTAATGGCTGGCTACTATTCTATAGTAAGGGTATATCATAATTTAACTGTTTTTTTCAGGTAATAGACTGTTGGTTTTTCTTTGTTTCCATTGCCCAGACTGAAGTGCAATGATGTGATCTCGGCTCACTGCAACCTCCACCTCCCGGGTTCAAGCAATTCTCCTGCCTTAGCTTCCCAAGTAGCTGGGATTACAGGTGCACGACACCACGCCCAGCTAAATTTTTTTGTGTTATATTTTTAGTAGAGAGAGGATTTCACCATGATGGCCAGCGTGGTCTTGAACTCCTGACCTCCACCTGTCTCAGCCTCCCAAAGTGCTGAAATTACAGGCGTGAGCCACCGAGCCTGGCCAACTGTTTTTGTTTCTAATTGAGACAAGGTCTCACTCTGTTGCCCAGACTGGAGTGCAGTGTGGAGGTCACAGCTCACTGCAGCCTTGACCTCCCCAGCTCAAGTGATCCTCCCACCTCAGCCTCCTGAGCAGCTGGGACTATAGGAGCATGCCACCATGCCCCACTAATTTTTTGTATTTTTTATAGCGTCTCCCTGTGTTGCCCAAGCTGGTCTTGAAATCCTGAGCTCATGCGATCCTTCTGCTTTAGCCTCCCAAAGTGTTGGGATTACAGGCATGAGCCACCACTGAACCTGGCCAGTAATGGACATTTTTATTGTTTTTAGGTTTTCATTATTTCTCAGCAATTTTTTTTTTTTCTTTTTGCCCAGAGAAGTGGGATTTCTTTTATTTGGAGAGTAAGTTCAGCATGTGATAAGGACTGTTTTTTTTTTTCATTGCCCAATATGTTCATGTAAGATAAGGCACATCTTTATCTAAACCTCTTAATTGGGAGCAACGGTGGAAGCACTTTCTAGAGCCTGGTATCTCTGCAATGTTTGGTAGTTTCATTTCATAATTTAGATAATTGGGTTATATTCAAGTATTCGACTCAAGTGGGTATGTGACCCTCTGTTTCGTTTTTCAGCAAACTTTTTTTTTTTTTTTGGAGACAGAGTCTTGCTCTGTCACCAAGGCTGGAGTGCAGTGGCGCAATTTCAGCTCACCGCAACCTCCACCTCCTGGGTTCAAGAGATTCTCCTGCCTCAGCCTCCCGAGTAAGTGGGATTACAGGCGCACGCCACCACACTCAGCTAATTTTTGTATTTTTAGGAGAGGCGGAGTCTCACCATGTTGGCCAGGCTGGTCTCGAACTCCTGACCTCAGCTGATCTGCCTGCCTTGGCCTCCCAAAGTGCTGGGATTACAGGTATGAGCCACTGTGCCTGGCCTCAGCAAACTTTTTAAACAGCTGCTTTAAACAATTAAAAAAAATTGATTATTTAGTTCCTTGCCTTGATCTCCCTAATGAAGAGCTTACCATTGTTCAAAAGGGCAAAAAGAAAAGGCAAAGAGTTTGGTGAAGCCACAACTCTGTAATAATCAATACTCGAATGTATTTGCATTACTTTTAAATGTGCCCTAAAATAACATTCTTGAAGATTAAATATAGCTAGTAGTTAACCATGTAATAAGGGTATATAAATTCAGGTAATAATATATTTCACATCAGTAAAGCAAGTTCCTAGGTTTGCTCTGTTTTTATTGGCAAACACACATGGTGCAACTGAGTAAATATACTATAGTTTATGTAAGATGTGAAATGACACATAAGAAGGATGTTAGCAGCAGATATGCCTTCAACAGGCATAAGGTTGTCAAAACTGAAAAGTTTGCATATTTTTGTATAATCTAGATTTGTTAGAAATGTATATTTAATTTTTTTCAGGACGCTCTGGTCCTTTTCAAGCTACTCAGCTATGGGATGGTATTATTCACTCTCTTCAGGCCCAAGTGAAAATAAAAAGAAGGAGGCATCGTTTACGAACATACGAAGACTGTTTTACTGGTTCTGATGCTGTCAATGTGGTCTTAAGTCGTCGTATGCAAAATACATGCCTAAGTAGCAGTGACACATCTCGTCTTAAAGGAGTTCGTCTTTGCCAAGTTCTAACAAATCACAAAGTATTTGAACCAGTAGGAATGAAGAAGCTTTTCAAAAAAGAAAAGGAATTGGAATTTGAAGATTCCAACAAGTCTCTACACGTTTCTAGGCAATAAATCATCTTACAATTGTTGCAAAAGACAAAAGGATGCTGAGAATGAGTTCAATGATGAAATAAAACCAAAAGAAACCTTGAAGTTAGTGTTACCTAAGATACTGTAATATATTTTATTTAGACCCTAGAAGAACTATCTTTATTGCGCTAAACTCAAATGTGTACTTTTTTTCAGAAGCCAATTAAAAAAAAATCCATGTAAAAATTAATACACTTATGCATCTCCTCTAAAACGGGAATGATGCAATAGACTAGAATTAGATAATAGTGATGACTGCACAACTTTGTGAATGTACTAGAAAACATTGAGTTATACACTTAAAAAGGGTGACTTTTGGCCAGGCAGGGTGGCCCACGCTGAGGCGAGATGGACAGGAGTTCGAAACCAGCCTGGCCAATTTTTGCATTTTTAGTAGAAAATTTCTACTAAAAATTTCTACTAAAAATGCAAAGTAGAAAATTTCTACTAAAAATGCAAAAATTAGCGGGGTGTGGTGGCAGGTGCCTGTAATGCTAGCTATTCAAGTGGCTGAGTGAGGCACAAGAATCGCTTGAGATGGGGAGGTGGAGGTTGCAGTTAGCCAAGATTGTGCCACTATACTCCAGCCAGGGCAACACAGTGAGAATCTGTCTCAAAAAAAAAGTGAATTGTATGGGATGTGAATTATATCTCGGTAGTTTTTACTGTTCCCAATATAGCAGCATCTGTTGCTGTAACCAAAAATATATGTTATTCCTTTTCCTTTACAACATTTTGTTTTCCTTAGAGCAAATACATTTTTGTTTTCTGTTTTGCTTAGTTGTTGAAGACATTATCACATACATTTTTCAGAATTTATACCAGGAAAAACTATGTCTTCTAAGGAATGGATATGCTTTCTAATTTTGAAAAATGACTTAGCCAATGTATTAAAAGCCAAGGTTTTCTGGAAACTCAGATCAAAAACTTTCTCTTCCATCATAACAACTATGTTAACCTTAGAATTAGCATATATGCTTTTCTTCTTGATTTAGAATTCTAATTTGTCCTCTTTTGGTGATAGTCTATTAAATTAATTATTTGCATATTTTATTATAAGCTGCCTGAAATCCTTTTTGGAAATAGAGAATGTATGAATAAATTTTAATACATTAATTTAAATGTATATTTGAAATTTTGGTTCTGTGTATAATGAAAAGAGCCACATATTATTTTTTAACAGACCAGAATATGAAATGATTTCAAATCCTCTAGCACAAGAGATTGGTGAGGAAAGAATTGAGGAACTTATTCATACAATAAATGGGAATCCAGCTTTATGTCCAAATATCACAGTTCAGAAACCTTTTCTCCGGCTTTCAAAAGAAGGTAATTTGTTTTCATTATTGTTTTCAGAACTTGGTAAGGAAGAACTAACTTCTTTTTAACAGGTTCTTATGAGCAGTTTCAAGGTCACAGCAAAATAGAGCAGAAAGTACAGTTCCCACATACCCCTTGCTTCCACTCACACACAACCTTCCCCATTATCAACATCCTGCACCGAAGTGGTGCTTTTGTTATAATCAATGAATCTACATTGATACATCATTATCACCCAAAGCACATAGTTTACATTAAGGCTCAGTCTTGGTATTGTACATTCTATGGGTTTGTATAAATTTTTGATGACATATATCTGTCATTATAGTATCATACAGAATAGTTTCACTGCCCTAAAAATTCTCTGTGCTTCATCTACTCATTCCTCTCTTCTCTCTAACCTTAGGCAATCGCTAATACTTTTACTGTTTCCAAGAACTGACGTTTTAAATGTGATTTAAGTAGTGTATTAGTGTGTTGACTCCCTCCTCTTCCCTGTAGGAGTTTTCTCCTACAGAGCAATTACATCAGGTAAGACAGGTGAGGCAGTATACATCTAGTAACACTTAATTCATTTTTTACAATGACCATGACCAGATTAACTGGAGGTGCTATAGTCTGTACTACGAGAGAAAACATACGGACTCACTACAGTCCTTAGTATTTGTACTGCAAGACCATCTTCTTATGAGTGTATCCTTTGTCCATTGTATAAACTCCTCCCAAACATCTTCCTACTCTTTCCCTTTCTCACAACAGACTAGCTAGACTACCTATTGCACCACTCCCCTTTACTATGTACTTCATCTACTAGTGTTTCTCTCCTTAAAATGCCACTAAGGCAGAAAAAAGAGCACCGTAGCCAGGGCAGTTAGGAGAGATATATACAAAATTCATTAATGGCCCTTTACTCCATTTGGTCAAACCATGACCAGAAGAAGCAAGACTAGTCATGACTTGCACGCTGGAGGAGTATGATTTATCAACAATAGTTAACATTGGCATGATAAAGGAAATACAGGGTGCCCAAAGAAAGGGTGTGGAATTGAGAAGAGGAACTAAAAGATAACTCTCTTTTTTTTTTTTTTTTTTTTTGAGACGGAGTCTCGCTCAACATTGCCCAGGCTGGAGTGCAGTGGTGTGATCTTGGCTCACTCCAACCTCCAAGTGATTCTCCTGCCTCAACCTCCAGAGTAGCTGGGACTACAGGTGCCCACCACCACACCCGGCTAATTTTTGTATTTTTAGTAGACACGGGGTTTCACCATGTTGGCCAGGCTGGTCTCGAACTCCTGACCTCAAGTGATCCACCTGCCTCAGCCTCCCAAAGTGCTGGTATTACAGGCGTGAGCCACCTCGGCTGGCCATTGAGACACAGTTTCACTCTTTCACCCAGGCAGTAATTTGTATATATTTTTCTCTCTTATTGTTCATATTTTGGGGATTTTTTTGTTTTACCTACTAGGAAGTATCTTCAAATGTATCCTCCAGTTTTCTTACTGATACCTAAAAGCACTTTTCATTTTTTTCTTCTTTTTTTACTTTTTCCTAAAAGCACTTTTAACTTCTCAGAATTTCCTTTCTTGTGGCATCCTGTTTTTGTTTTATGGTTGCTTGTTTTGTTTACCTTTATATCCCTGGCACTTAGAACAGGAGTTTGAGACTGCAGTGAGCTATGATCATATTATGCCACTCCAGCCTGGATGACAGAGCAAGACCCTATCTATCTATCTATCTATCTATCTATCTATCTATCTATCTATCTATCTATCTATCTATCTATCTACATTTTAGAATTTCACATGAAATCTCCCATTTTTATACATTAATTTTCTTCAAAGTACTTCATAACCAAGCAAATCGTGGCTGTGGGCCAAATTTAGTCCACAGGCCACTGGCTTGGGAGCTCTGCAGGAAACTTACTATAACATTGCTTTTGTAATTTTGTTAGATTAAAGGAAAACCAGGCTGGTCCAAGTGCAATGGTATTTACAACTAATTGATTACAACCAGTTATAGATTTCTTTGTTCCTTCTCCACTTCCACTGCTTCACTTGACTAGCCTTAAAAAATAAAAAATAGGTCGGGCACAGTGGCTCACGCCTGTAATCTCAGCACTTTGGGAGGCCAAAGCAGGCAGATCACCTGAGGTCGGGAGTTCAAGACCAACCTGACCAACATGGAGGAACCCTGTCTTTACTAAAAACATAAAATTAGCCATGCGTGGTGGCGCATGCCTGTAATCCCAGCTCTTCAGTAGGCTGAGGCAGGAGAAATCACCTGAACCCAGGAGGCGGAGGCTGTGGTGTGCCATTGCACTCCAGCCTGAGCAATAAGAGCAAAACTCCATCTCAAAAATAAATAAATAAATAAAAACAGGCCGGGTGCGGTGGCTCACGCCTGTAATCCCAGTGCTTTGGGAGGCCAAGGCAGGTGGATCACTTGAGGTCAGAAGTTTGAGACCAGCCTGGCCAGCATGGTGAAACCCCATCTCTACTAAAAATACAAAAATTAGTCTGGCGTGGTGGTGCACACCTGTAGTCCCAGCTACTCTGGAGGCTGAGGCAGGAGAATCGCTTCGGCAGGGGAGGTAGAGGTTGCAGTGAGCCGAGACTGCACCACTGCATTCCAACCTGGGCAGAGTGACACTCTGTCTCAAAAAATAAGTAAATAAATAAAAATAAAATAAAAATAAAGGAAAAACAAAGTATTAATTATGATGATGGTTAGGGTGATGAAAAACTTAACAGGAACTTAACAGGAATGACTGGAAATCCAAGATAAAATTGGCCTAATACTGTATTTTAGTTTAAAAACAACGAACTACAATTATCTGTGTTACTATAAATAGAAAGATAAATAGTAATCTTATATTCTTTCAGATGTATAATATAAGTTATAAGCATGACTAGTAGTTTTTTATATTTGGAATGTGTCTTTATGATCAGCATAACAAAAAATTAATATGGCTCATAACTGATGTTTAAGATCAATCTTGAAAAATTGTAATACAACAAGTGTAAATTATCTAATCATTAAGTTAACCCATTATATTACTACTGAACTAGTTTTGCTTTTGTATTATTTAGAAATAGAATTATTTTATAATATTGGTTGAATGTGTATGTTTTATTTGCCAATCTTGATCATTGCATTACTTTCCTTTTCAAGTTATACAAGATGTTTGGAAAGAACAAACATTATTATGTCTTCTTTGATCAATTCACCTTCCATTCTTGGACAATATTTTGGAGCCTCCAGTTAAAACACAAAATCTTCTATTAAACAAAGAGGAAGATCTTGTTACCGCTAATACTTACCTAGACAGAGAACTTATTCCAAGTTTATGTCTACTGAATAAGTGACCGTTGTTATTGTCAAATAATTTATAAACAGTTTTTTTTCACATATTTGCCCTTGCTATTTTAAAATGTGAGAAAATATTCATGTTATAAGCTGATACCATCTCTCTTTTATAAATTATCATTATGAATCCCCATTTGATCTAACAAAGCCATCGGTCATGACCTACAAGATCACTGGAAATCAGAGTGGTTTGGTTCATATGAATTCATTTATATGTCAGTTGTCTTCTCCCTGCACCATCCAAAATTCTGTCATTTCCATTTTATTATCCTAAATAATATAGCCATCCCAGTTTCTACCAGCTTATTTATCCCTGCCCTAGAAGAATCCATAGTCTAGAAGGGGAGACATACATGAGAGAAAAAAATTATAATCTGACGAGATAAGCCCTATCATAACATCAGCCTAATTTGTAGATAAGAGATTAAGGGAACCCTGAATAAGCCTCCTTTCCCGTTTACTCCCAACTCCAAGCTATTTCTCACTTCTGAATAAAGCAGCTGATGGAAACTATAGGCATTAGACCTTGAGTAGTATTAGGATTCCAGCAGGGAGAACTGATATAGTGCTTCCTCCTATGTGAGCCAAACAAGAAAAGAAGATTAGACACCAAAGCTGAGGACCAGAAAACGTCGTATCTTGTGAAGAGATTAGTGATCAGAGACCTCTGGACCCCCTTAGTCAACTGTGGTCCTGTTTGTACATGGCAGATTTCTCTTATTCGCAATAGGCCAAGAAAGACCCAAACAAAGGGCTGAGTCTTCCTGCCCTTGAGTCAGGGGTAGTACAGGGACACCAGAAAAGAAACAGGATTTCTGCAGGTGCCTCTGCAGGGAACCCACAGGAGCCAGTCTGCCTTAAAAAGCTTCTAGGCAGAAGGGGCAGGTTATCTGTAAGAGAAAAGCAATCAAACTTTCATTAGTCTTTTCATCTGCAATACTAGGATCTAGAAGACAATCACACATATTAGGCAAGATGTACTATTCATCTGTCAGGAGAAAAAAAAGAGAAAGAAGGAAAGAAGGGCCAAAGGGCCTGTAATCCCAGCAACTTGGGAGGCTAAGGTGAGAAGATTGCTTGAGGCCAGGAATTCAAGGAAGACAACATAGCGAGACCCTGTCTCTCTAAAAACAAAAAAATTTTAATTAGCTAGGCATGACAGCACATGTCTATAGTCTCAGCTGCCCAAGAAGCTGAGGTGAAAGGATCACATGAGCCCAGGAGTTGGAAGTTAGAGCGAGCTATGACTATGTCACTGCGCTCTAGCTGGGTGACATAGCGAGACCCTGTGTCATATTTAAAAAAGAAGGAAGAGAGGGAAGGAGGGAGGGAGAAAGAAAGGAACAAAAGGAGAGAGGGAGGGAGGGAGGAAGGAAAGAAAGATATTTGAGGATTATAAAGAATTCAGACCAGGCACAGTTGCCCACACCTATAATCCTAGCACTTTGGAAGCCCAAGGCAGATGGATCACTTGAGTCCAGAAGTTTGAGACCAGCCTGAGCAACCACAGCAAAACCCCATCTCTATAAAAAATACAAAAATTAGTCGGGCGTGATGGTGCACGCCTATAGTCCCAGGTACTCTGGAGGCTGAAGTGAGACGATTGCTTGAGCCCAGGAGGTAGAGGTTGCAGTGAGCCGAGGTCATGCCACTGTACTCCAGCCTTGGCAACAGAGTAAGACCCTGCACCAAAAAAAAGACCCTAAAAAAAAAAAAAAAAAAAGGGACATACCCTTAAGGGAAATTACAATAAATACTAACCTATCTTGGCAAAACCTGGGGATTGGGAGGGCAGCAGATATGGAAAAGGGAGAAATAAAGGCCTTCTAAAGGAGTCACTGGAGGGCAGGGGTGACAGGACCCTAAATTTCTTATCTTACTGTGGAAACAATGTATGGTGGGATAAACAGTACATCTAGGTTAGGGAAATATTTGGTATCTTATTTTCAAATAATAATAGAACCACATGCATCTCATTGGAGCAGGAAAAAGGAGGGTAACTACTAACAAAATTAGAAATAAATAATAAAGCATTCATTAAAAATTATTTTAACTTCTTGAAAATAAAGGTCCGTAAAGGTGTGGTGGTATTCAGTAAGGAATACAGCCATTCCCTCTCATACAGTCCTTCACTCATCCAGCGAAATGTATTGAAATGCTTCTCCCAAAAAATAATTTCTTCTTTAGATTTATCTAGCTTTAATAAGCTAGTTTTTATCATGTTTTATCAAATAGTGCTTTAGTTAAATGGAAATGTTAACCGTTGCTTTATTTTGGTTTGCATTTTCCCTCTAGGATCAATAACTAGCTTAATGCAGCAATTGAATGCTTGGAGTATTTCCCTGACCAGTTAGTAGTTATAATTAGCAGTTACTGCAAAACGGAAATGAAGAGACAAGATTGAACAGTCAGAAGATACTCTTTGATGTCATAGCAAAATACTATGCTCAAGAGAGAGACTGCCTATTAACTGATGAGTATTTTGATATTCATTCAGGAATTATTGAACTTTTAGGTAAGACAGGATGTTTATACTTTAATTTTTAGTGTAATAAAATACTTTAAAATATACAAGTTGAAATAGAAAATTGTGTATACTCTATGACTATTACATTTTAATATTTTTCTTCTATGATGTCAAGGTACTTCAGGAAGTCTTGTTTTACTTCACTACTATTGCCTACCTTGTAAATTCTATTATCAAATGTAACTAATATAGTATAGTGCATAAATCTAAGGAATACATCACAGAGCATCGCAGGGACATTCTAAGAAACATGATATAGCCGGGCGCGGTGACTCACACCTGTAATCCCAGCATTTTGGGAGGCCGACGCAGGGTGAGTCACCTGAGGTCAGGAGTTCGAGATCAGCCTGGCCAACATGGTGAAACCCCGTCTCTACTAAAAATACCCAAAATTAGCCAGGTGTAGTGGCGGGCGCCTGTAGTCGCAGCTACTCTGGAGGCTGAGGCAGGAGAATGGCATGAACCCGGGAGGCAGAGCTTGTAGTGAGCCGAGATGGTGCCACTGCACTCCAGCCTGGGTGACAGAGCAAGACTCCGTCTCAAAAAAAAAAAAAGAAAGAAAAAAGCATATGATATAGTATAAGGATTTAAGAACTGAGGTACCTAGAAATACTAACTTCTGAGTTATTAATTTGATAAACTTTCAGCAAAATAAAAAGTGAATGACATGTCATTTTTTAGCTATGTAAGTGGCCATATAATTTCATGTTAAAAACAAAATAATGTTCAATAATGCTGGATATAGCTACATCGCATATTACATAGAATTATATAGATAATTTCCTGTGTTTGAAATATTCCATAATAAAAAGTTTTAATTGTAGAAAAGAACCTGCAAACCAATACAACATTGTAGCATTTTAATTGATGACTAAATAAATACTTACTATACTCTCTATTTTTCATCCTATGCTTTGTTTTCTTTGTAACCCATATAACAGAAAATGAGAAAAGGGCAGAAGCACTTGAAGCAATACAACTATATCTAAGATTGCTGTTGCCGAACATTAGAGAAGAATTATGACGGCTACTTACTTTTATGGCGTGGCGTCAGAGCCCAATGCTTACAAGTTGCAAAAACAGGTGAAAAATTTTGCAATAAGTTTTACCATTTTTTTTGCTTTTTTTTTCCTTTAAAAACCATTTATGCTAATGTTAATGTTTCTGTTTGCAGTATGATAATAAAACAGTGGTCCTGAAAACTCTTGCCAAATCAGTTTTGCAGACCAAATCATTATTAAAAGTGTGGGCAGAACAACTGGTCTGGTTTCTACTGGAGTACCACTCTGAGCTCTTCAAGGTATCTCTGGCATTTTGCCTGGGCACTTTTATTACTAAGCTACTTGTGTCAAGCAAAAGAGAAAATCATTCACTTAGTAAATAATTTACTAAGTACCTATAATGAGCAAAGTTTAAAGAAATGCTGACTCCCCACACCCATAAAAGAGAAGGAAGGAGACTTAAAACCATTTTGTTGGCTGGGCATAGTGGCTCATGCTTGTAGTCTCAGCACTTTGGGAGGCCGAGGCAGGTAGATCACTAGAGCCTAGGAGTTCAAGACCAGCCTGGGCAACATAGCAAAACCCCATCTATACAGAAAAATAACAGACCGAGCACAGTGGCTCATGCCTGTAATCCCAGCTTTTTGGGAGGCCCAGGTGGGTGGATCACCTGAGGTCAGGAGTTCGAGACCACCCTGGCCAACATGGCAGAACCCCATCTCCACTAAAAATACAAAAATTAGCCAGGTGTGGTGGCACATGCCTGTAATCCCAGCTACTCAGGAGACTGAAGCAGGAGAATCGCTTGAACCTGGGAGGCAGAGGTTGCAGTAAGCCAAGACTGCATCACTGCACTCCAGCCTGGGCAACAGAACAAGACTCTGTCTCAAAAAAAAAAAAAAGCAAGGCATGGTGGCACACACCTGTGGTCCCAACTACTAGGGAGGCTGAGGTGGGAGGGTCAGTTGAGCCCCTGAGGTTGAGGCTGCAGTGAGCTGTGATCACGCCATTGCACTCCAGCGTGGGTGACAGAGTGAAACCCTGTCTCAAAACAAAGCAAAACACTTAGGAGTAGCAGTAGCATTAGTAAAACATGGTCTTAATATATTTTGAAGCATTTTTGAAAGAGTTTTTTTTAGCCTCACTATTGTATTTTAGTACCAGATAATAGTATGAATACTTTTAATGGTGTTATTTCTCCAAAGCCTCTATAAAGAATTCTCTTTCTTCTGTTTCCTTGCTTAAAAATGTGTCTAACTGGGCACAGTGATACATGCCTTTAACCCCAGCTACTCTGGAGGCTGGGGTGGAATAACTTGAGCCCAGGAGTTTTCAACTAGCCTGGGCAACATTGCAAGACCCCATTTTATTTTTAAAAAATTTTTTGTCTCATGTCATAATGCAACATATTGATCCAAATTTTGTAACAGTTCTGTGACCTTAACTGAACTTTTTTTCCCATTATTTACAAGAAAAAGGTGGCACTAAGTATATACGATAGAGGCAGTCCTCATTAACATTAAACATTTAAAAATGTTTCATTCCCCCGAATTTTGAATGAAACCTATTTTAAAAGGTCATTTGTAAGTCAATTGTTAGGTACTCTACACCTAGTTTTTCATCCAAATAAATAAATAACAGATGGTAGTAAGGGCCCAGGTTATGTAAATGTTTAATACTACAGTCACCAAAGTAAAATTCTCATATGTACTTTTTCTCATATGTAGTTTACCTGCTAAAATGGGTCCCAGATTTCAACTAGCAATTTAGAAAGAACACTTCCTCTCCTCTCTCCTCTTCTGTACTACTCAGCCTCTCTCTGCTTTCTTCTTTCTCACTCTACCCCCTCCTCTGCATAAATGAATCTGCCTCTTTCCTACACGTGGTACAGATATTAGGAAGGATTTTTTTCATCTTTCTACCTCCCCCTTCATGTTCAAACTAGCAGTGTCATAAGGAAACATACTAGTTCAGGTCAGGTGCAGTGGCTCATGCCTGTAATCCCAGCATTTTGGGAGGCCAAGGCGGGTAGATCACTGGAAGTCAGGAGTTCGAGACCAGCCTGGCCAACATGGTGAAACCCAGTCTCTACTAAAAATACAAAAAAATTAGCCAGGCGTAGCAGCAGGCACCTGTAATCCCAGCTACTTGGGAGGCAGAGGCAGGAGAATCGCTTGAACCCGGGAGGCGGAGGCTGCAGAGAGCCAAGATCGCGCCACTGCACTCCAGCCTGAGCGACAGCACGAGACTCCATCTAAAAAAACAGAAACATACTGGTTCAAGTTTTGTACCAGGCCACATATGGAGAAAAGCAACTTGACATGGGCTGGAGGAAGTGAGGGTATGAGAATCAGGAAGCGGGGAGAAGGGCCCTGATGGTTGGTTTCTAGAGATTAGAGGCTGATGTATTTCAGGGAGGCTGAGGTGGGGATATTTATGATAGGGGCTCTGGAACGTGCCACGCTTGTTCCTGTTACAGAGCTTTCCCTGTTCTGTTTACCTTTGACCGCTGCTTTCACTCTAGCCTCTTTCTCTACTTTGTTTTCATAGTGGCACTTACCACTACCTGAAATTATATGTATTATGTATTTGCCTATTTTGTTGTTGTTGTTGTTGTTGTTGTTGTTAAATTGTCTTTCCTATGAGAATGTAACTTCCCATAAATTCGGGAACTTGATCTATTCATTCATCACCTGTAACAGTACCTGGCACATAACAATCACTCACTCAATTTTTATTGAATGACAGAATGAATTAATGAGGACAGCATCATGGCTGGAAAGTGACAGGACGAGTGGAAGCTAATGAAAAGGTATCCTGTGAGCCAGGATGAAGGAGTTATCTAGACCTGAGCTTCGGGATTGTAGGGCTAGGGCATGCCCTCTGTAACAGTATTAGTCAATGAATTATTTCTCCAGATATGTGTAGTAGTCTGGAATTACCTTTGCTATAACCAAATTAGAAAAGAAATAGATACCTATTTTGTTTGGGGATTTTTTTGTTGTTGTTGTTATTAGAGACAGGATCTCGCTGTGTTGCCCAGACGGGTCTTGAACTTCTGGACTCAAGTGATCCTCCCACTTCAGCCTCCCAAAGTACTGGGATTACAGGTGTGAGCCACCATGGCTGGCCTATTTGCCTATTTTAAGATAAAAATTTTAATGTATTTTAGAGCTGCTATTTACATATGTACTGTGTAATGTTATTTAAATAAATGCTGTAATTAAAGTACAAATAATTTTTATTGTTATAGGAGAACATTTCACTAATGATGGGTTAACCTAATTTTATTTTATTTTATTTCTATTTATTTTTTTTTTTTTGAGACGGAGTCTCGCACTGTTGCCCAGGCTGGAGTGCAGTGGCTGGATCTCAGCTCACTGCAAGCTCCGCCTCCTGGGTTTGCGCCATTCTCCTGCCTCAGCCTCCTGAGTAGCTGGGACTACAGGCGCCCGCCACCTCGCCCGGCTAGTTTTTTGTATTTTTTAGTAGAGACGGGGTTTCACTGTGTTAGCCAGGATGGTCTCAATCTCCTGACCTCGTGATCTGCCCGTCTCGGCCTCCCAAAGTGCTGGGATTACAGACTTGAGCCACCGTGCCCGGCCTAACCTAATTTTAAATATAATACATACATGAAAGCAGAAAATAAGATTTTAAGAGTGCTAAAAAAATTTCAAGAATTTATAATTCAGAGGCCTTCTACCACCCACCCTTTCCACTCATCTACGATCCTCTCCCTTTACTCATTGGTCAAAAATATGGAGATGTTTTTCTTTCTATGTTGAAATTCTGGCTAGAAAAAATTATATTAAATATTTGAAAATACCTGTTTTGTGTAGACACCAGTTACTTTTATTGGATCTGGTTAGTAAGAAAC